CCTGTCAGATGTTCATTCTCAACACCAAGATGAGCTCTCCTGTACTGCTATAGATAGCTCACCCTATGTAGTAAGTAGCAAGGGGTGGGGCAAGTCTCCTGCTCTCATGTCCTCAAGGTTGGCTTGCCCACACCTAAACCACCAGGCCAGCTCTACCGTGTTGCCCAGTCAAGGTATAGGAACCACTCTGCCTTGTGCTGCAGCTGGTGAGAGGCGGGGCCAGTTCTCTTGCTCCAGTGACCTCAGTGACAGCTCTCCATCAGAAGGGGCTGGTCCTACAGACACAAGGTTACAGGATCTCCTTGACACAGAACAACAACAGGCTATCCAAGAGGCGCCTCAGTGAGGGCCCAGTATTGATGATGTAGCAAAAACCAGAGACCTTGAATGCAATGAATGGACTAAAGGATGGTGTGACTCACTGTGTCATACTACAGCTTCCACAATGAGATTTTTCTTTTCTTTCTCTTTCCTTTTAAATTTTATTTTGTTTTATCCTGGGGCAGAGAGATTGCAAAAGGCAAAGGGTGAATGGGAAGGGAAGAGAAAATGAGTGGGATAGAGATGCATGATGTAAAATCCACAAAGATAAATAAAAAGTTAAATTTGACAAAAAAAGGAATACTCTATAACCTCACGGTGCTCACAATGGTCCTTAAACGTTGTAGGAATTGCTGTTTCACAAGAAGCAACTTTACTATTATCTGGTGATGTCACTTCACACAAGCCTGGGCTGTCCCAAGTAGCAGCATGTTTGCTTTTCACTGGATGTTGATAAATTCCTATACTCTCATGCTATGTCCCCTTCATCACTCACTTCCACCAAGACTATCAAGGAGAAGAGAATCAGTCTCTCCAGCCAGGAGCTCTGTGGTGGCTGGCCTCCTCCACAACCCCCTGCAGGACCTGTGGCCCTATCCCTGCTCCTGTGCAATGCTGGGGTTGAGTGAGTGCTGCCTTTGAGCTGAGGGGTCAATGGTTTAGCCCTTGCATTTACTTACATACATTCTGACTCTTGAATGTGTCAAGCCCCAAGTAAACTAAAGGGTTTTTTTTACAAATATCTAAACTTCGTGCTGTTTGGTTTATGTGTGTGTGTATAATTTATTTATTCTTTTAAATTTCATTTTACATTCCAAACATAGTTCTCACTACCACCACCACCCCTCAACTCCTTCCCAGTCCACCCCAAGTTCACCCCCCCACACTGGTAAGGGCTCTCATGAGGAGTCAATAAAGGCTGACACAATAGGTTGGGGCAGGGCCAAGCCCCCCCCCATGCATTAAGGCTGAGCAAAGCATCCCATATTGGGAATGGGCTCCAACAAGCTAGCTCATGTACTAGGTCCTACTGCCAGGGACCCCTCAGATAATCCAAGAATCTGCAAGGATGACCCCAGATAAGACTTCTAGCAATAGTGGAGAGGATGCCTAAACTGGCCTTCCCCTGAATTCAGACTGGTGACTACCCCAACTATCATGATGCAGCCTTCATCCAGTAATTGATGGAACCAGACACAGAGATCCACAAAGCTCCAGGGAATCCAGTAGAAGAGAGGAAGGAGAGAATATATGAGCAAGGGAGGTCAAGATCATGATGGAGCTTCGTGCTCTTAAAGTCAAAAACTTAAAGTGAGCAGGGAACAGACATATATTAAACTAAATGACAGTATGGCTGTCTTGGTGAAATTATTTTTGTCTTTGAGATTAAAAATGAATTATTAGGCTCTTAAGTCTCTCCTGGCAAAACAATACACAGTGTGAGCTAAATGCTCAACATTGTGTCATTAGAGCAAGTTCTTTAGATATGAATTTGCAGTTAATCCACCTTCATTATCTTCATTAGTTAACAATGCATGTAATTACTGCTCTGCCAGCCAAAGACCATCTAAACATTAACTTTCCCACAGACTCCAAATATTCAGTAAGCTGCTTGCTACAGTTCATTATATTAATAATATATGTCACCATGATCCTACTAAATGTATATGTAATTAAACACTGCCCATGTGGCAAACCTTCAGTATAATTTTTAGTATAATTTGTTACCTTTTAGATACAGTAATTATAACGGAAGTAAGGCACCACTATAATAAAGGTAAATTTAACCAACTGGTTTGTAACCAACTAATTCTACATTTTCAGTATTCACTAAGGGGGGGAAATTTTATTGAAGAAAATATGAAATGTTTTCTAAGTAATCAGTTTTAACCCCATAATTCTCTCCTTAAAAATCATTACTACCATCAATTTGCATTTATTTTGATATTTTACTACATATGCATGTGTCTATAAATAACACCTAAAATATGTAAGGCAATATTTGTATCATAGTATTATGTAGTATAAGATTATGTTAAAAGGGATAGATTTTCTCAGGTAGTTTATCAATAATTCATAATTGAAATATGACAAGAAATTAGCATGTAACATACTGAAGCCTACAAGAAAAAGCATGTTGTCAAGCAGTGTTGGAGTATTAAGGTAACAATTATCTAATCATGGCTTTGTAAGCCTCCATAAGCTGAGTTTGTTCAAATACCAATAAAAGGAAATATGATTTAAAAGCAAAGATAAAGCTCAATAGGAAAAGAAACTAAATTTCCAATTAAAGCCAAGGAAGAAATCATTAACCTCAGGGCATTTTCCTGGAAGCATGTAAGTGGCATGTTATAGGTTGTTAACTTAAAAATACTTGAAACAACAGCAGCTGCCATGGCTATATGCAGTAACTCATTTAATCTACTGTGTGCCAGGCAGTAACATCTCAAACACACTGTAACTCATGCTTTGTTAAAACTTCCATTTCATTGGATTTTCACAATAACTAAGTAAGAGAGATACTAATGCCATGCATTTCCTACAGACAAGAAAAGTAGAGTCTACAAAGGGTAGTCTGCTGTTGAAAGGCACAGAATCGGCAATGAGTCTGTGTCTCAACCAATGCACCTAACCATGGCAGGTGCCCATCCCCTAGCTCCCAGTCCTGGGACTTACACTTCCTCGAAGCCCTCAAAAGCCTTTGTCTGTAAAATGGGAATAGTAATTAATTCTATGTACCAGAATTACTGAAAACTTGCTAGACAGTTTATGAGACAGTGTTCATCAAAACATGGGGCTCAGAATGACACTTGGTGGGTCACGGATGAGATAAGAAAACTGAATGTTGAAAATAAAGACTTGCTCCTGTTCAAAGTTTTCCATGAAAAATAGTATATTCTTGTAAAATTTCTGCTCTTTTACCTGCCTTAACATAAAACTACTGCACCAAGGCCAGAGGAACCAGTGTTCTGCAGCCATGAGAATGGTTAAACAGTAGAGGGATCTAGAAGAGAAGAGCGAAGCCAGGAATGACACCTTGAAAGATGGGTGCCCTGACAACTGCCTGGAGTCACCACAGAGCCCGACTTACTATGACCCATACACGTGTATTAGTTTCCTATGACAGTTACACTCTTAGAACAGAAAATAATAGTCAAAGGCCTTTATGCTCATCCTCATCTTTTGTTTTGTTTTGTTTTGTTTTGTTTTGTTTTTTGAGACAGTGTCTCACTAAGTAGCTCTGGCTGGCCTAGAATTCATTATGTAGACCAAGCTGACCTTGAACTCACAGGGGTCTGCCTGCCTCTGCTTCCTGGGAGATGAGACTAAAGGTGTGTGCTGCCATGTCTGGCCATTGCTTTAGATAAGTCCATAGGACTTTGTGTTTTTAAAATCCCTTCATATATATTATCATAGTATAAAAACCCTTCAAAAAAGACCTACTGAAAAACAAACAAGCAGAACTGAAATCAGGGAACTGGGCTTCAGCAACATTAATAACAATTTTTTAGGACTCTCTGTACACCTATGTATGGTGGTATGTGGATGTGTTGGTATTTACCAAAGTAGCCTCCTCTTTTGTAATTAAAGGGGTCAGTTAAGTGCTTACAGTATAGAATTCTGATAAGGCAAAATGCAGTAATTAGGAAAGATGACCAGTGAAGGTCCCAGTGAACATCAATGGCACACACACAAACTAACAGCTGTTTCTACTGAAACCATGAACTTGGTCTGTGTAACTTCTTATCCCCTGCCACAGCATTGGCGCAGACACTGTGAACAGTGCCCCTTGTCCTTTGTAAAATGTCCTTCCTAGCTAAAAAACGCTGGCAGGCACCTGGACAAGGTGGTGCATTTCCCAAACACCTTCACAATTTGCTGGGCTTTCATGGTTGAGTTGTCACTCCTACTGCAGAGGAATACTTAGTTGTCTAAAACATACAATCATCTGGGAGTCTTAAGCCCCAGGGTCCATTCTTATTAGGGAAATAACCAGCTGGCTTGTGGTGCACTAAACCATTTTACAACTCAACATTCAACTTCTAATGGTTTTGAGAATTTTCTGAAGTAGTGACCTTTTATCTAGTGGCCTTTATCTTTTCTTAATGTCTGTATTGCTATTCAATTTATTTTTTAAGTATTTACAGCCCTAAGTGAAATAGGAAGAAAGAAAGCACAAAAGAAATGGACCAAAGGGGTTCCATATTTCCAGCAGCAGTGGTTTGAGTAAGAACAGCCCTGAGAGGCTAATATATTTGGTCTCCAGTTGGTGGAACTGTTTGGGAATGATTAGGGAGTGTGGCCCTGTTGGAAGATGTGTGCCACTGGGCTTTGAGGTTTCAAAAGCCTCCTGCCATTCTCAGTGTGTTTCAATTGCCTGCTTACTGTTAGAGACAGGGCTCTCAGGGGCTGCTACAGCCACCTGCTACCTCCATTCCACCCCCGTGAACTCTGGCCCTCTGAAACAGTAAGGCCCGAATAAGCTCTTTGACATGTGTTTCATCACAGCAGTTGGAAAGCGGCTAATATACTAGCAATTCCTTTATGTACTTCCCAGGTTTTCACACCATGAGAAGAGCTGCACGAACCCACAAGTGTGCAGAGTGACACACACCGTCAGGAGTCTTTACTTGACACAAGGAGGAACCTCTGGCCTCAAAGCCCTGCAGGTCACTCACCTCCTGGGCGCTCATGCTCTCCATCCGTGTGCAGCAGCATGGCGATCGGCATGCCCACGTTCTTGGATCTTCCTGCCACAACCACATTTTTCCCAAATGTTTCAATTCCTTTAAAAAAATTGTTTAAAAGCATGACTAACAAGAAGAAGCAAATTAAGAACATGAAAAGGCAACTGAAATGTTCTTTAAATACGTTTAATTAAATTTGGATTTCCTACCCTGTCTGTAGCATGCCCTCGCTGAATTATTTATAAATATTTCCTTTTACACTTCTTGGATTTGCCACTTCCTCTCTCATTATGTCCTCATTTAAAAACCACAAAAATTCTCAAGTTGCCATTAAAGTCATTTTAAATTCTGAGTTTCACATGAAGTGCGTAGTCTTAAAATATATTAACTGCTAATGAGACTAGAAGTTCATACAACAGGATTAAGCACAAATGGCAATCAGCCTTCTGGTGAGACTGGGATAAGAAAGTGGAATGCTCACACACTTTACTTCACAGAAAGAAATGTTACACTCACAGCCAGTTCTCTGCATTGGGGGTCATCAGTTCTTCACAGGTAAAATGAAGAAACTGGAATTGAGACTTACCCAAGTACAGACCAGCAAGTGTGTGATTTTAGAATCTGCTTTCTCTTAGAGATTTTGTCCATCAGTTAGAAATCAACAGATTATAAAGGGAAACATGTTTCCCAAAGAGAAGTGACTGTGGTGGGGGCAGGAAAGCCAGCAACGTGCAAAGCCATAGAGCTCCATGGATACACCTACCAACCTGTGAGAACAGATTGTGTCTAGCACAGTAGAAGCCCACATACTTTTATTTAAAACCACAGTCAACAGGCATGGTTCTTACATGACTGACACATTATCTTAGTAAGAAAATACTCTACACTGGGGAAAGAGTCTCACCAAAATGTGTAATTCAAAAGAAGGAAGATATGGCCGCATTTGGAAGGTTCATTCACCCTAAGCTATGTAGACATTGCCTGGCACATGTTTTCCATTTTCTTTTATTCCATCTTGTTCTGTGACATTCATAAATGTATAGATTTTTATAGGCTTTAGTTTTATGCTCATCACCTTGGTTGCTTGTAGACAGAGGTAGCTCTACCTAAGCAAGGCCCCTGGGCTCACCTGCAGCTGGTACCAGTTGCCCACAGACCCACGTTACCAACCTGTTCTTTTTATTATTTCCCAAACAGCACTGGCAGTGGCGGGTATAAGAGAATGCTGATCAAGGCACAGTCTTCCGATATTGATGATATGAAATCCATCTACATCTTTCTCTGGGGCAATTCCATTGCATATTGTTCTTTCATCAACATGGTCTGAAAAGTAAATACAATTGGTCTCCTTTAAAATGTATGCTTATGTGGAAGCCTGGTGGATGAAAAATGGGGATCTATAAATAGATAGCTCCAAGAGACAAAATTATCGTTCTTTTTATGCCATCAAAATAATAAACCAAAATGCTCTTGAGTGATAGCTGTGATTGGCTGCATCTAGAACGTAGGCTGTTAAGGGATTACAGTGGCTAGTGAATTGTGTGGAATTTAACAACGCTGAGGAAATGCAGCAACAAGTAGGTAGAGGTCTTTGTCTCAACATGCTTGCAGATTTAGGGGGTTTGAATTCACCTTTTCTCCACAAGATGTTTCTACTAACTGGCTTCTCTTAAAAAATTGAACACTGTAGATTAAATGGGGTAAAAGATGAAGCCACTAGAGGTCACCCAAATGTGGTGCAGGAATTCTGCTAAAATCTCTGCCTAAGCCCCAAACAACATAAAGAAAAAGCGAACTCCTAGAAGCCCAGGTAAAAACATGAGAGGATTGTTGAGGAAACAGAGTTATAGCTGCAGCACACCAAAGGAAAAACATAGCCGGAGTGTGTGTGTTTAAATATGTAAATGCAATCTGATGAGTCCATTTTAGTGCTGGTCATAGGCATTTTAAAAAGACTCTTTAAAATGAAATATGCACCATGAAATTGCATTTTGAGATGAATACTCTCAAAAAACAGATGATAAAGGAAAAAGCAAAAGATGGAAAGAAAAGCAGAAAATGACTGTTGTTTTTGAAATTCCTGAATTTGAAGTCGTTTTGTTGTGGTTTTTTCTTTTCTTTTATCTCTCGCTCTTTTGTGTGTGTGTGTGTGTGTGTGTGTGTGTGTGTGTGTGTGTGTGTTTTCTGTTTTGTTTTGTTTTGAGAGATCATCTCAAAGAAGATATGTCTATGAACTTGAACAACAAAAACACCCTCTTAGGTTGGCTTCCACCTGGGCATGAGTGGAGAGAGACATTAGTGGCTACAGAGACAAACAAATCCCTGGGAGAAACAAATCATCTCAGGGACTATGCCCACAAAGTCCTAACATAGTTTTAAACGGTGCTTACTCAATGCTGCCATCTAGTGGTAATACATTCCATTTACAGGACAGTTGTCTGCCCTTTTTCTTGTCTTTTATCTCATTAAAAAGCTACCTACAAAGTTTTGAAGTAGATAAATAAGATTATAAGATTGTGAGAATGGTATTGTAGAAATCATGTTGAAATTATATGCAGCAAAATTCTTCTCTAAATATTGTTTTTAAATTAACTTTAGATTGAATTAACCATAATTCACAGCTTATAATATAATAATTTATTATTGTTGTGAATCATGCTTGCGCGTGCGCGTGCGCGTGTGTGTGTGTGTATGTGTATGTGTGTGTTATTCATGTGTATGTGTCCATGTGTGTGGAAGCCCTGTCACTCTCCTCACCTTGTGAACTAGATTCTCAATGAAAAGGGGCATGCAGATTTGGGAAGATAAGCCAGTGACTAAGCCTCACGGGTCTTTCTGCCTCTGCTCCCCAGTGCTAGTGTTATAGGCAAACACCATCACACCCAGATTTTTACAGCGGAGCCAGGGACCCAAACTTAGATTGTCACATTTGCACAGAATTTAACCAATGGAACCAGCCCTTTTATGACACAATCTTGCTATCAACCCCAAAACAGTCAAATTTCAGTGATTTTTTTTTATTTTTCATCATAACTTACGTATATCCGAAGCTGTCACCAAAAACAAAAGTTATCACCATTACACAAATAATCTATTAACCCATCTCCCATTTAAAACAGTTCCAACCTGTTTTAAATTTCATCCTGGTTCCTGTACCTATTATTCTTTTGGAGTCTTTTCTGAAAACCTAAATCTAAAAGATTTAAAGGTGACAAATAACATCAAATTGATTTCCACGCATGAAATCAATCAGAATTTAAAATTAATATTCTGTGTCAACTCTTCCTTTACGCTGATTATTTTATATAGTGCTAGAAATCCCTTGGGAAATAGGCAGCATCTTCTTCACTTACCAGATGGAGACACTGAGACAAAGAGGTGACCATTGTTACCTATTAGTGAATGGCAGGACCGATACTCAAGTCCAGACAATTTCATTATAAAACCAACAGTTTCCAATATTCTCTGAATATTAAAAGGTATAAGATGAATGCATACACTTCAAATACATTATCCGCTAGCTTACACTGAATTCTTGGAAATGTACCAACTATGGTTAAAATATTGGCATTGGGTATCAGTCTGCCTGAATCCAGATTCAGTTACTCAGAAGGAAGGTGCGCGATCTCTGTGCTCTTGTCACCAAACACAAGATGGCGCCCTCCCGGCGGGATTATCATGATGATTCAAACTGAATTATTAAACACAAAAGCTTCATAAAACAAAGACTTAGTTCAATGGGTGCCGACCACTAGTGTCTTCTGTACATATAAATTGGCTTCATATATAGAAAAGTACCGTCTCTCGGACCACCTTTATGTTGGCTGGGGCTCCCTCTTACCTGTTTCTTACTCTCAGAGAACTCAAGCATTTTGTCTGTAGTACAGATGGATAACAAGTGCCATCTAGTGGCCACTAGTAAAAAAGTCACCAAGTAAACATTGGTCACAAAGGTAACATTTTTAATTATGAAGATTATATGTATTTGTGGTATGTAATATGATGTTGGGGCACATGCATATTTCATGTAACAGCTACCTCAATGTAATGAAGGCATCATATATTTCCTTCTGTGTGGTAAGATTATGTGACTCTGCTTTTGTGGCAATATGTCATTAACTATCTCATGATGTCGTACAATAGGTCTCTAGAAGAGGTTGTTTTTTGTTTTTGTTTGTTTTTTGTCATATCTAACCAAAGTATTAAATTCTTTGGCCAGTACCTCATACATATCCCCGAGTCCTCAGCCCCTGGAACCACCATTCTATGGCATGTTTCTGTGAGATTAACATGCCTCCACCTAAATTTTCTATTCACAGTTTTTCATCTTTTAAGTATAGATCGTTAAGGGACTGTTAGCTGTTACTATAGCGCTGAGATCACAGCCAGTCCTCTTCTGAATGTGTTTTATAAAATACTTCCAGTGCCATGATGGTCCCTTTCTCCTGGCCAACCCAGACACACAAAATAGCATCACGCACCTGGAAGGGGTAGCTGAACTAGTATACCACTGACTCTTGGGTCCATGTTCAATTGATCAGTGATGTCTAAAAGTTCCTCCTGAGAAACATTCCCTGGCTTTAGAATGAGCTCACTGCAGATACCTGGAAGAAAGCCAAAGGAGAAGATCACTTGAATACGCTGTGACAGCTGGCTTCTCCAATATGTGTCTGGTCTCCCTTGATCCGGCCCTTCTAGAGGGTCAATGTTCTAATTACCGGGAAGAGGGGTTTCTCAGTCAGTATAGGGATTCTCTCCTGATTCCTGTGTGTCGTTTGGCTACTGCTCCAGGCTACTGCACTGACTAGTGAAAACCCCTCTTAGTAGACATGAAGAGACCAAGTGAGACCAGAAAGCAGCGAAGTTTATGATTCAGTTAAAGCAAATGCAATAAACACAGGGTCATTAAAAGCAAAGAGTCCTACTGCCCTGCCCATAAAATATGAAATCAAACTGAAATAATTCTATAAGAAACCTGAAAATAGAAAGACATTCATATAAGCTTATGTGATGGAATAACCTCTAATAATAACAATAGTACATGTTATTTGGATGGTGTTATTTGATAACTTGATAATTATCAACCATGATTGTGTAACTTTATATGATAACAGAAACATTTAGTAACAATTACAGTCACACGCATACCCACCTACAGCCGAAGCAGCTTTTATCTTGTTCCTGACATAGGTGTGGCTTGCTGGGTTGTCTCCCACTAAAATGATACTGAGGTGGGGCCTCCTGTTCCCAAGAGCAATCCATGATTTCACACCTTGCTGTATTTCTTTTTGGATTTGTTTGGCCATTTCAGTTCCTGAGATGATAATGGCTTCATGTCTATGAGAAAAAAACACTATGAATAATATTTAAAAGCCAATAAGGAACAGTCAACTGAATAAATGTATGGTATAAGAATGTTCAAAACAACTGTGGAGGCTAGTAAGAGGGCTCAGTGGTTAAGAGCATCTGTTGCTCTTTCAGAAGAAAGACAAGATTCAGTTCTCAGCACCTACATGATGTTTCACAACTGACTGCATCTTCATTTCAAAAGGAATAGTTGCCCCTCTCCTAGACTCCATAGGCATTACACAAACAAGATACATAGTGATGCGTGCAGGCAAAGACTCATAAAATAAAAACATTCAAAACAACTATAAACATCCAACATTTGACATTTCTAACAACATCTGACACTCATCTTCAGGTTCATAAATAATACCAATGATTTTTGTGAAGGATTGTAATTTTTTGTATGTCCACCTTATAATTTGCTTGTTCTCAACTGAATGTTTTATGTCACCCCAAATTTATGCTGAAACTCTAAACCTCTGTGTTCTGAGATTAGGAGGGGGGCTTTGAGAGGAGATTAGTGTGGGGGTCTCTGCAAATTCCACAGCCAGCAGAGCAACAATCCACATGCCACAAGGAGAAAGTATGGTTCAACACAACTCAGTAGCAGTGCTGGTGCAAACTCTGAGAGTCTGACAGAGGGCAGTTTATTTTAGGCATATTTAAGCACATTACAATTTGGGGAAAAGGTTTTCTGGTGACAATGAACTCAATTCCATGTGTAGAACAAAGCTCAAGACATGATTTCATTGAAACTCTTTTCAGAGGACATGTGACCTCTTCCATAAAGATGGGTTCTGTGGATTGACTACATGTGACATCTTAAGGGTCTGGAGGAGGACCTGGTGTGGTCTCAGTCATACAGATAGAGTCAATGTCAACAGGTGATCAGCCACCCCAACTTCCACATGTAACATGTCCCTTAAAGATGGGTTCTATTGGCTGAGAAGCAATGCTTATGATAAGGGCCTAGGGAGGATGACTGAGATAAACAAGAGTCTGGGGAGCCAGATGTGGCCTTGCCATAGACAATAGAGCAGAGGTCACCAGGCTATTAGCACATCCATTCCCAGCCTTCTGGGAAGAAAACTGGTCATATACCTCTTCCTTTGAAGGAACAACCCCATGTGTTTAACATTTCTGGGTCCCCTAGTGCTATCTGTGAACACAAGAACCCTATGCCCTCTATGCCCTCTATAGATCAGGCCACAGGGACAGAGCCTTCATAAGACACGCAAAAGGCTCCCATTCCTCTTCCCTTGTGTTATTTTATGGGTGATGCATGGAGAGAAAAAAAACAGCTCATTTTCAATTTTGGTGTCTAATTTCATATATTCTAGGTATTAGTCCTCTATTGGAAATGTGGTTGTATTCTTCCCATTCTGTAAGCTGTCTCTTCACTCTGGTTATTCCTTCCTTGGCTATGAAGAAGCTTTTCAATTTCATAGAATCCCACTTGTCAGTTCTTTGGATTATTACCATTGCCCTTGGGGCCTTTCTGGAATATTCTGGGTTTATAAGTATTTTTTCATATTTATCTTTAGAATTTCCATACATAAATACTATATTTACATCATCTTCACCCCACCCTCTCCCCCACTCCAACTCCTCCTATGCTCTTCCACTCTCTCAAATTCATGGCCTCCTCTTTAATTATTATTATTACATTTAAACATAACCATAAACATATAAATAGAACCTACTGAGTATATCTAGTGTTACATGTGTAGGACTGGCCACTGGGGAAGACTGATTCTCCTTCTCTTATAGCAACCATTAATAACTGACCTCATCTGGAGGGTGGGGGAGGAGCCTCATTGGAGTTGCCATCCACATTGGCAATTCAACTGTTATTGTCATTGTGCAGGCCTTATTTAAGTGATGTGTACTGCCGCAGAAACAGGGAAAGTAAAAAAAGATCATGGTGAGGGGACCTGGGAAGAGGGGCACTGTACAGTATAGAGTCTCTGAGGGGGAACAGGCAAAACAGGAGGACTCTTAGCTAGGGAGTGGAGAGGAAGGCAAAACAGAGGCAAAGAGAGGAAGGGGCATTAAAAAAACATTAAGGTTGATTAATTTCTATTTACTTTAAAATATATGTGTGTGAATAGGCATATATAAATAATTTAAATGAAGTTAGACCACTTGGAGTGATAATGCCCCCCAAGGCCATACACTATCTAAGAAAGACCCTAGTATCAGGCATGTGGAGCCTCCTGATCAGAAGTTGTTGGAGTTGTTGATCAGGGGAGTTCAAGAGACTTCAAACACAATACAAGCTATTTCTGCCCATTGTTGTCTCTTAGAACTTGAAACTAAGACACTATTGTTGAAGGACACAGGACTTGGAGGAATTAAGATGGAACTGACCTGGGAGTCTCATGTTTTGGCCTCTTAAATTCATGTGTGTTTTTCTCTAAAAGTTTCAAGGTTTCTGAACTCACACTAAGGTCTTTGATTATTTTTTCAAATTGATTTTCGTGCTGGATAAGAAATGTGGACCTAATTTCATTCATCCACACAGGGAAATCTAATTTTCCCAGTACCCTTTGTTAAAGAGGCCATCTTTTCTCCAATGTTTGTTTTGGATACCTTTGTCAAAAAAAATTAGATGGCCATACTAGTGTATGTTTGTGTTCTTCTGTTTTATTCAACTGATCTATGTATCTGTTTTTGTGCCTTTGCTACATGGCTTTTGTTACTAAGGCTCAGTAATATAATTTGAGAAAACATTGTGATGCCTCCAGCATTACTCTATTGCATGAAAATTGCTCTTGCTATTCAAGGTCTTGTGTTTCCATATGGATTTACAGTGGTTTTATAATTCAATGAAGACTGCCACTGAGATACTGAAGGGCATTTCGCTTTTGGTTAATATAATTGCTTGTACAACATTAATTTTGCTAACCCATGAGCCTAGGAGAGTTTTCCATCTTCTAATGTCTTCAAATTCCTTCCTCAATATTTCAACTTTTCATTTGGGGGTCCTACACTTCCTTGGTTAAGTTTATTTAGAAGGTTTTTAAAAAGCTATCATGAATGTGGTTTTTCTGACTCCTGTTTTTTTTTCAAGTATGTAGAAAAGCTACTGTTTTCAATATTGATTTTGTCCTTTACTAGTTTGATAGAATTATTTATGAGTACTAATAGTTTCTTGGGGAACATTTGAGATCTTTTAAGTATAAAATGATATTTGCAAATAGGAATAATTTGACTTCTTCTTTCCCTATTTATATCTCTTCTGTCTCTTGATATTATCACCCTAGCTAAAATTCTGAACACTATATTGAGTGATAATTGAGAGGGCAGACACTCTTGTTTCATCCAACATTTTAGAAGACTAAAGTTTTCTTCCATATTCAGTATGTTACCTGTGGTTTTTTTCATTTGTAATCTTTGCCATGTTAAGATAGGTTCTTTCTATCTCCATTTCATTCAAAGCTTTATCATGGAGGGAAATTGAAATGTATAAAAGGATTTTTCTGCATTAATTAAGGTAATAATGTGATTTCCCTTCTTAAAGATATGAATACAGTCCTACACATAATATTATACATATTAATTTGCAGATATTTAACCAAATTTGCTTCTGTGGAATGAAACCAGCTTGTTTTTTGATGCCATCTTAATGTGTTCTTGAATTCATTTTACCTATTTTATTCATAAATTTTGTGTCTTTTCTCATCAAGAAAAATGATCTACAATTTCCTTCTTCATGTTATGTCTTTGTACAAATTTGGCTTTGTGGATGAGTTTGACTGTGTTCTTTCTCTATTTTATTAAACAGTTCAAGGAAACATTGGTATTAGCTCTCCCTTAAAGGTTTGATAGAATTCTGCAGTGAATCCTGAACTTTGGTTAAGAGACTTTTTTTTTTATTACTGCTTCAATCTAATGAGGTTGTTGTGGTTCTGTTTAATACGTTTGCTTCTCCTTGATTTAATTTTGTTAGGTCACATATCTAGGAATCCATCCATTTTTTCTACATTATCTAATTGTTTGGAAAGTAAATTTTGAAAACACGCCCTAATGATTCTTGAGATATTATTATAATCTATAGTAATCTCTTTCATCTCCAGTTTTACTACTTTGGGTCTTTCTTGCTTTCTTTTTGTTAGTTTGGCTGTGGGTTTTTTCAGTTGATTCCATATATCATCCATTTAGTTTTTATTTTATTATTATTTCTTGGCACCTATTATTATTGGAGTTTGGACTGTTGTTTTTCTAAGATCTTGAGGTTCATCATTGGATTATTAATTTGAGGTAATCTCAATGTTTTGATCCAAGCATTCAAAGCAATGGATTCCTCCTTAGACTGTCTTTAGTTCTACCCCAAAGATTCTACTGACTGGATTGGTTTATTTAAATTGATATTCCATTTTCCATTAATTGATCTACCTACTTACATTATTACATTGCAATTTTGATTACTACAGATCAGTATTATATATCAAGATTAGGTAGTCTTATACTCCCAGTTTTGTTCTTGAGATCAAGGCTGCTTTTGGCTATTCAAGGAAGGCCTTTTATGATCCTACTTAAATTTTAGAAATTTCTACTTCCAGGAGAATTGCTTTTAGAATTTTGTCAGAATTTGTGTTACCTCTAGACAATTGCAGAGTGTGGGCATTTTAATATTAAATTTTCAGATCATGGAATAAATTTAGAATTTTAGTGGGACTGTGTTGACTCTGTAGATTATTGCAATAGCGTGGGCATCTGAATATTATTCACTGGTCCATGAACATGAGGGATTTTCCACTTTGCTTTACTTCAGACCCTTTCATCTGTGTTTTAAGTTTTCAGTGTCCATAACTTTGGCCTTCTGTGTGAAATTTTTGTGCTTTATAAGTGAAGAAACTTCCCTATTTGGGGAAAATTTACTGATTTCTGTATGCTGACTTTGTTACTTTTCTAAATTTGCTTACAGGTTTTGGAGATTTTTTTATATATAAGTCAATGTCTGTCTGTCTCTGTCCCCCCCCTCT